ACTTTCCTTTTCGCCTTTCCTGTCCTGGCTTAGTCTAACTACATTGACAAAAGGACTTCTTTTCCTAGTTAGATAGTCTTGTCTGGCTGGCGATTTTGATGAATGTATATCCTGAATAAATGCAATAATATTCATCACTTGTGTGTTGCAGCAAGGACAGCTTCTTATTGGCTCATGTCTGTCAAATAATGTGTTTTTATGACATTTATCTTCCTTTCTGTTTGTAGGACCATGGCATCGAGCATTTGGTGATTCCCACCCGTGATTATCTTTTTGCTCCATCAAATGGGGATATATGCCTGGCTGTAGAGTTTATTCATGGTAAATTGATTTCTTTTTTTTTTTTTTATGTCATGTTTGGATTGAAGGGTTTTGGATAAGGGTTGGAGGATTTCAATTTTGAAATAGCTTCATAAAAGAAAAAGATGGGGAACTCATCGAATTTAATCTCTATTTTTTTTCTCTCTCTCTTTTATCATTTTCCTTGTGTTTCTTTCATCAGACAATGCACTGTGTGGCAAAACTACATACGTTCATTGTAAGGCTGGCCGAGGGCGTAGCACTACAATTGTTCTGTGTTACCTGGTACATCAGCAAAATCAAATAAATAACATCAACCTTGTTTAGATATTCTTATTGTGTACAAATATTGAACCTTTTTGTTTCTCAACTAGGTTAAACACAAGCAAATGACCCCTGAAGCTGCATTAGAGCATGTGAGGTCCATTAGGCCAAGGGTGTTATTGGCCTCTTCCCAGTGGCAGGTAAGATTGGTCTTTAACTAATGCGATTTTCAATAAATAGCTCTAAGTTTAATAGTTCAATTGTAAAAATAGGCATATTGACCAAAAAATTCAATAATCCAACTGTTTTCATTTTCTGCATATTTCATGTGACAATAATGTGGCCGATCGATTCTTGATATGTTTGTACGAACCTAGATTGAACCTAATCAGTATTTTTTACGATAAAAGACTGATTGATATATTTATATGGATTCTGAAAAAAAATGCAGGTTGTTCAAGATTATTACCATGAAGTCAACAAACCTGACACCAAAACTTATGCAAACAATTTACTCATTGATTTCCCCACCAAAATCGTTGAACAAGATGATTTTGACGAAAATTCGTTGGTGGTAATAACTGAATCAGACCTTGATGGATATGATGAGGAAAAAAACCATGGCTCTGACTCGACAGGTAAGAAGAACATGCTGGCCGAAGTAAACCTTGCGTGCAAAGTTCATTTTGCCAGTCAAGCAGCAATTTCCAGGCTCTCGTGCCTATGGGTTCGCTGCCAGACGGGACAGAAAGTGTCGAGAAAGAAGCTCTCGAGCAATGTTAGAAATGGCCGAATTGGGACAATGGGTGTCGATATCCATGTTTATTGACTTCTTTCTACTGTCTGTAAAAAGTTCTTGTTCTTACCACCCTCCATCGAATTTTAGGTTGTCAGTATAAAGGAATAATAAAGATTTTTTTTTTTTATTTTATTCTTGTTGGGTCTTTCTTTTTTGGTTTGTGATGTGTTTTATGGCTTAAAGGGCTTTTACAGCCTTTATTGTACAATTGCCAAAGAAAGCGTTTGGAATGCGGTGACTTGGTAAGTGTACAGTTAGAGAGTCGTCTAGAAGTGGATAGTTTATTCTGTTTAGCGATCGGAGGTTTTTTTAACGTGGTGCAGTCGTTTGAGGCGTGAAGGCACTATTCGGTTTTGTGCTGTGTACAATACATGTTTGGTTATGGTTTTTCTAAATCATGTTTCAGTTTCTGGATTGTTTCATTATCTGCAAATGCTAGTTATTTGGAATGTAGAGTGAGAAGAATGTTCTTGTTTTGTGTGTCAATTTTGAGGTAAATTTTTTGGTTAATTGTGAAAAGATTCGAGCTTGGTTTGTTTGATTATACTACCAAGTTGAAATTGATTTGTTTGATTATACTAACAACATAGTTTTAAATGGCAAATGGCGAGGCGAGGCGAATCGCCATGGCGAGGCCTCGGCAACACTATATATGTATAAATATATAATATATGTATATATACACACATAAACACATTTAAGTTCAAGTACCAACAATAACCTTAAATATTCTAAAATAGATAATATATATTAAATTTAGTTGTAATTACTAAAAGCATCTAAAACTTAAATGTGAATACTAGTAACATTACAAACCAAAAATATTGAATTTACACTGTGTAGTAAACATAAAATAGAAAAAAATTAAAGGCAAATAAAAAGTATAAAATAGAAGTAAATGAAAGAAAAGATGCTGCACCCTTTCACCTTGGACTACTGATCATACTAGTAAACATAAATATAGTAAAAGATGAAGAGAGAAGAAAAAGAGACGCAAAAACGGGAACAGGAAAAAGAGAAAGGGAAAAGGAAAAGAAAAGAAAAGGCATGCATCACCGACCGTCTTGGCGGTGCGAGATGGTGGCCGGAGTTTAGAGGAGGCCGGAAATA